TTTCTAAAAAATAGAAATGTTGCTCAGAAGCTGGTATCAAGCTAGATTGCACCAATGGCGGCAAACACTTGTATCAATAAAAGTGACTTGAGGTCACATTCAAAAGTCCTTTCCCGGGACAAAAGGAATCAGAATGATATGGTAAAACCTCTACAGCTTGTTATCGTTTTGCTAAGAAAACAGAGCTACTGAACCTTTTATATGCAGAAGCTGAATGTAGGCAAGCAAGGGTTTTCAGGTGAAGCCACCTTCTGGAAGCTATACTTGGACACAGGTCTGCTATTAATCTTGTTATTGTTGTTATTGCATTCTGGTTCTTTCTCCAATCCATTCATGCTATTTTGAAAAGAGACCTTCTTGGAGGGGGGGAGGGAGTGTACTTTTTAAGACTGGTGTGAAGGGCAGTACCAACTATGTAGGAAAGGTAGAGTTTAAATAGCAGGGATAGAAAATTGTTGGTTAAGTAGGCAGATAGATAGATATATAGATAGATAGATAGATAGATAGATAAATAGATAGATGATAGATAGATGATAGAGATAGATAGATAGATGATAGAGATAGATAGATAGATAGATATAGATAGATAGATATAGATGATAGAGATAGATAGATAGATGATAGAGATAGATGATAGATAGATAGATAGATGATAGAGATAGATGATAGATGATAGGTAGATGATAGATAGATAGATAGATAGATAGATAGATAATTACAACTTTTCTTTTGATTTTGAATCTCTCCTTTATATCTATCATGTGCTAGAAAATTAGGTGTCTTAGCAAAAAATTTGCAAGGAAGGACAGGAATTTCGGGAGTTGGTTTTAAAATTATTTAGTTGTATATTTTTTTGCCTGGCTGTGATGGCTCAGGAATTGAGCGTCCAATTATTGAAATGTTTTGTTCTATTTAGAATATGGTGCCACTATTTGTTTCTATTCTTGTGCATTCTCCATGCACAGGAGCCACCTTCCCACTCCGACATGACCCTCAGAGGGGTGGGAGGTGAAGCGTTGGTTGTGTATTCTTCAGCTTCCTGTTGATGTGTTTCACACATGTCTGTACCCATCTACATACAGACATGTATGTCTGTTGTTTGCATACATCAGATCTCTATATATTGTTCTTCATTTCTTTTCCACCCAATATATCATGGAGCTCTTTTTAGGCAAGTACACACTACAAGTCAATGGCTACATAGAATTTTATAGCATGAATCTATTATAATCCAGGTCTCTGTTATAGTATCTTTTTTAATCCTATTGTTTTCCTATTATAAAATTCTACAATGAATATAATTTTGTATTACTTTTTTAAAAGGGAGAATATTTTTTTAGGATAGTTTCCCAGAAATGGAATTGCTGGCTCAAATAGTAATCCTTTTAAAATTTTTATAGGTTTTGCTAAATTGTCTTCCAAAAGCTTATCTTTTCACTGCATTATGAGTGCCAATTTTCTCACATTCTTAAAAGCCCTAAGGATTACAAATAATGTTTTTGTTTCATCTTTCCAAGTGAGTGAGTGAACATTGATATTTTATTATTGTGTTGATCATGTATTTACTTAATTATGAGGCTAATTGAACATTTATCTCTGTGTGAATTGCCGATGCATATTTTGGCCATTTTTAATTTTCTTACTTCTGATTTGTTGAAGCTTTTTATATGTTCTGGATATTAATTCTCTGTTTGTTAAATGTATTGCAAATGTTTTCTCCCAGTCTGTTCCTTTTTTAAATGCCTCATTTATTTCAGAATCCTGTTTGAGCATGTAAAATTATTGGTAACATTTAAACATTTCAAGAAATTTGGTAGCTAACATATTTCTTCAGTACCACATTAATTATTACTTAAGTAAATTTTAAATGTAAACTTGAATCTTATTATGTTCTGAAAGTTTGCTTAAAGTGACTTTGAATGTTTTTCTCTTTAACTGTTTTTCTTTCTATTGTATTAAAACACTGACCACATTATTACTGTCACCTTTTGTCTATTTTTGACATGTGAACATATACATGAAATATGAAAAGGTTATTTTAGCACCTGTGCACCCAGACCCTAAGGTGACCCCCACTGAACTCTGCTTTCTGATATTCATTTCCTTGTCTAAGGTAAAGACATCCAGTATGCACGTCTCTTGCCTGAGAATCTTATATTACAAAGCTGAAGAAGTCAAATGACTCATGACTGTTTGGAAAAGAGAACCAATGTCCAGGTGAGAAATAGGACAATTAGGAAGGCATTGCGTACTCTTAGAAATCGAATTATTTTTTAGATACATTACCATATAATGTATCTAAAACGCAAAGTCTATCATACAGGGTTAACAATAAAAGGTAGGTATTATTGTCATTATTTCATTTATTTTATCTCCCTTAACCTACAAGAAAACATTGAAAAGTCTTCATTATTACCCCTGTTTTTATAAGGTGGATACAAGGTAGGAAAAAATAAACACTCTCCATACAGAGCAGGGTGAGATTCCACTGCAGTCTTCTATTTTTAAGTCCTTTTCCCTGTGGCATAGCAGTCTCCAAGACTTAGAGGTCTCACCTCTTTACTCCCTTATCATTACAGTGATAAAGTATAGCTATAATTTCCTTATTAATTTTCTCTCGATCTTACACAATGTATATTCTTTTCTATGCTATTATTTAGTAGCCTCCTAAGAAAATGGTGAAACATATGGAAAGGTTTCTATCTAAGATTTCTTCTTAACTCTGGATCTGCAAGGAAGAAAGATTTACTGACCCTTTCACAGACTCATCATCCATCTCCCATCACCTCCCCGCCTTTCAATTCCCTTTCCCCAGCTGTTATCCTATGGACTCAACTCAGGCACTAGGAATGAAAAGATGCAAGATGAGACCCCCTACTTGCCACGACTTCCAATTCATCAACAAGACCAACACCCACACAATTAACCGTAAGGCACAGAAAGAGATTCGATGATCTGGAAGCATGGAGAAGGAAGTGGGCACTGACAGGGCAATGGTTACACTTGTGACAGGACACTTGGAGTGGCGTTTGAGCTGGTCCTTGAAAGAAAAGGAAGAATGAGAAGCAAGGGTGTCTGGGCAGCAGAAACAAAGGATGCCAACACTGCAAGTCATGACCAGGGCATGGCCACTGAGCACACCAGCACAGAGGGTTTCAGGAGGGAGTGAGCCAGAAAGACAGGGGAGAACGAGGTTACAAAGGATGTCTGCCTTGCTCAGGAGTTGGACAAAGCAGTTGGAGCTCCTCAAAGGATTTGAAGTAGAGATGTGATATAATCACATTTTTTTCCTCCTAAAAATAAAGACCATTCTGGTGCTAGTGTGGAGAATGGATTAAAAGGGTAGGCGATTGGAACGTAGAAGATCACTAGAGAGGCCAACTTTTACCATGGCCTCTTCCCTCTAGGAAATAAACTCATCTACCTCCCAGGGAGGTTCAAATTGGGAATAAAAGGCTGAGCTCTTTTTTCTTATGAAAAACTAGAGATGAAAGTAGAGATGGCTCACCCCTTGCGTGCTTTCATTGAAATTTCTTACAGAAAGGACAGTTCTAAAACCAGCAAGTCACTTAAGTTTGATTTTCTTTTACTCAGATAACTTTACTGGGACCTGTTGTATTCAATGGGCACTTGCAGAGGGGAATGGACAATCCATACTCTGAGGGAACTAATGAAATTAGCCTCTTACTTTTCAGGATAAATAGCCCTTCACTAACGTGCTGAAAGAATGATTATTTTTTAAGTAGGAAAAAAAATTACAAGTAATTCATTAGTTTCAGTTAGAAAGCCTGGCTGTTGATTTCTTAGGACTTCGATGGCATTGAGTTTTCTTCTATTTCAGGGCATCTGCCTCTCTGTTTGAGCCACGTGAAAAGCAACTGCCTCAAAAACCTAGCACTAACGGCTTAATTTGACAATTTGTAGATGGTATTCTTATATTACCCTTTAGGACCTTAATAATTAGTTTTTCTTTAGTGCAGAATTAAAGCATTAAAGGTCATAAATTCCACAGTCACCTGTATCCATTTATTGCTAATTTATTATGAACCATATCATAAAACTTTCCTTGACATGGAGGCCTCTTCATAACTATAAATCTTTTTTCAACTGTTTAGATAACTTATGCTTAAGTTCAAGAAGAGACCTCTAGGAGCAAATATTTAAAACATCTATTTATTACGCATTAAGGGAGCAGGGTGGGTAACCACGTGAGGTCACTGTGAAGGATTCATTTACATTCAGTATATTTATCACTTCAAACCTTTATAAAGATAAATTCGATCTCAAGAGGGAAAAATGTTAACTGTCAAGTAGCTGTTTTACTAAGTGCTTTAAAACGTCCAGCTGAATAAAGCTATCTCTCTAGTTAGTCCAGAACACACACACAAAATGTTTCCAAGGAGATTAAATGTGTCACGAGTAACCTCAGTTCAGCTTAAAAACTTTTCCAACTTGAAGGTCATCTCTTCAGATGACAAATATATCATCTCATGTGACTGAAAGGTTGTTTCAACTATGGAGATGCAAAGCAGTAAAAACCCACAGTTACTGAACACATTTGCTTTTCTGCTTTAATTTCTCACAGATATTGAATGCATTTGCCTTCCATAAACTTCTATGTGGAAGCATATTTGTGGCACACATGCTTAGAAAGTGAGAGGAGATAATCAACTTGCTGGAAAACCAATTTGTTGAATGAGCAATGTGCTGAAAATCAGAGCTTCCATGAACTTTGTTTAATACTATCAGTATGTGGAGAGTGGCTACAGCGTTCGGATAGGATCAAGCCTCGGACTGACTTATGGTAAAGCCACATACAAGTCCCAGCTTGGAGGGCAAAGCCCTCCCAGCACAATTACAGCCAAAAGGCTATGATTATAAGCTTGACCTTACAGTCTGATCCTGCAGTCCTAGGTAGCTAAGGGATGTGGGCTGCAGGGGTGGGGTGGGAAGACGGGGCAGTGCAGCAAGTGCTGCGTAAACAAAGCTCGATAGACTTCAGAGATTCAGAGAATGTCAACAGCAGGAAAGAAGCAGATTTAAAATTCGCAAGAACATTGTAACATCTCGCCCTTGTTTTGCTTTGTGTGATCTGACTATAAGATAAAGCTTCAGCATACAGGCTGTGTGTGTCACTGTTTCCTCACCCAGGCACAGTGACCCACCTGGTCCCAAATATATTCTCTTGTCTGTCTTTAATCCTTCACCGCCTCTCCTCAAGTTCACCCCTGGCTGTGTTGAAAGGGGTTCATCAGAAACCGTAATGCATGAGATGGTTGTAACACTCTTGGGGATTTTCTCTTGCTTTCATTTGGCTTTAATTTTTCTGCAGCTGCAGTGGTGAGCCCAATCAGAATATTGTAGGTTTTACCATACTCTGACTGTAGGAGATAAAAATATCCTGTATATTTCTTTTTCTTAATATATATATTTTTTTATTTCAGAGAGGAAGGGAGAGTGAGAGGGAAATAGAAATATCAGTGATGAGAGAGAATCACTGATCAGCTGCCTCCTGCACACCCCACATTGGGGATCGTGACCACAACTCAGGCATTGTACCCTGACCGGGAATCAAACCAAGACCTCTTGATTCATAGGTTGATGCTCAACCACTTAGCTATGCCAGCTGGGCTCCTTTATATTGATATTTCAATGACAAATGTAATCTTACTGACTGCCTTATGATTTACAAACAATAGCATGGGTTTTTCAGGCTGTGACAGGCTTCAACCAAGTCTCCAGACTGTTGTCCTACTTGGGGAAGATTGGTATTGAATACCCACTTGAGATATCATGACCAGGTGACCAGTGATAATTGTTTCCCAGCTACTTCTCTCTTCTACACCTATCTCTAGCCTATGTCCCATCCCAAGCAGGATTCACGGCAGCTTGCCTATTTAGATTGAAAAGCAAGAGAAAAGCAGCTGTGAGTCTTCCTCTGCAACCCACGCACAGACTTGAACTCCTCCTATTGCCATGTTACAGAAGAGCCTAGGAAACCCACAGCTGGGCCCGGCCGATATGGCTCAGTGGTTGAGCAATGACCTATGAACTCAGAGGTCACAGTTCAATATCAGGTTAGGGCACATCCCTGGATTATGGGCTCTATCTCCAATGGGGGTGGAAGGAAGGGTGCAGGAGGCAGCAAATTAATGATTCGCTCTCTTCATTGATGTTTCTATCTCTCTCTTCCTTTCCCTTCCTCTCTGAAATCAGTTAAAATATATATTCAAAAAAAAGAAAGAAAGAAAACCCACAGCTGGCAATGAACTGCCACGCTATTACCCCAGAGGAAAGTGATTGACAGTCTAGAAGACAAAAATCTCATTTTGTTTTATATTGCTGAGCCCAATTTTAAGTAGTAAATACTTCTAGAAAAAAAATAGCAATGTTTTAAAAAGGGGCTTGTTTTATTATAAGGGAGGTACTGTGGCATTAAAGACAACTGTTGGCTTCAGGTTCATGCTTAGATAATTTAAACTTATCATGGCTCAGGGGAAAAGGCTAAGTTAATAATATGAAGACATTTTTATCCACACGAGTCTGAATTGCCTTTGAAAACCCTGCTGTACACCTTATTATGAAAAACAGAGTTTCCAAAAGGTTAATATTTATTTTCACAAAGGCTGATTTCTAAAATTATACTTTTTAAAACATTAATAATTGCCAGTGGTTTCAAAGTCTTCCTTTTATCAGGGAGCCAGGATCTTTTGGTTCCCTAGATCTGAGTTCGTATAAATTGTTTAGTTTTATTTGGTGCCACAAGGATTCCTGCAAACTTATCAGAAGCCTCCATTTAATACAGAAAAAGAGAGACTCAGACCATGTCAATATAATACTCTTAATGTTTTCCATGTTTGTGATTCCAAGGTCAAAGTCAAACCTCTTATTGTATTAATAATGGCAAAGCAAAAATAGGCTTTGTAGTTGTGAATTCATGGTTTTACGAAATAATTTCCCTATGTTTTTATTAATTCAAGCCATCCACTGAAGCACTCAAGGATTCCATTGTGTATTCCAATGACCTATCTCATGTTATACCTTTAGCTTTGGAAGACTATGAGAATGGATATGTGTGTGATTCTTTACAGTCATCGGCATGAGATATTGCTTTTGTCCAAAAGTTGTCAGCTTGTAATATTGCAAGTGAGATTTAGTAAAGCAAATGTTAGCTTAGCAGGGCAATAATCAAAATAATTATCTCTAATCATCATTTAAAGCATGCTGTGTATTACAAAGCATGGCCACGTAATCTGGATTCTAACCAATCTGATCAGCAATAATCAATATTCTTTAATTTTTATTTAATTTTTATTAATTTTAGAAAAGAAGGGAGAGGGAAAGAGAGAGAAACATCAATGATGGGAGAGAATCATTGATCAGCTACCTCCTGCTCACCCCTCACCCCACACTGGAGGTCAGACCAGCCACCACAGATGGGAGAGAATCATTGATCAGCTACCTCCTGCTCACCCCTCACCCCACACTGGAGGTCAGACCAGCCACCACAGCATGTGCCCTTGACTGGAAATGAACCCAGGACCATCCAGTCAGCAGGCCGACCCTTTAGCCACTGAGCCAAACCAGCTAGGACCAATATTCAATATTCTAATAATAAAAAAAACTCCAAGGAAAACTGAGCCTAGTCTCACCATGCCTTTTTGAGAGCAGACTGAGCTCCTGTCTCATTCAGCAGTGGGTAGTGGTGAAACCGATCCAAAGTTGCCAGGGTGCTTTCAAGAGGCCTTCACTTGACCAGAGCTTACCTCAGGGACCCAGCTGGCATGGATGTCCATCTCAGGTGACTGGAAGTGACAATGCAGTGACTTGGCAGCTACATTTTCTACCTGAGGGCCTCACTCTTCCATAATTCCCACCTGCCACCTTCCCCACTTCAAACTTGATGGGAGTAGGAATTCCAAGTGCAACTGAAGATGCTCAAAGCTCCCTGTTCTGAGTGTCAGGCATGGCCTGTTTGCCTCTCAAAGGGGCAAGTTCATCTTCCTGATATATCCCTGAGAAATGCATCCCCACCAAGCCAAACCCACCTCCTCTACTTAAGAGAGAAGGGGGAAGATACTAACCACAATGAAGCATGCCTCCCCCACCACTCACACACACTTACATACACATACACAAGCTATCATATTGCTGGTCATTCAATACAAAGTAGAAAAAAAAGGTCTTGAGACAAAACTGTCTTCTTGGAAACATGTTCTGATCAGTTGACATTCTGCAGTTTTATATTTTTTGAACAGGGGACTCCAAGGTATAGTTCTTAACATATTTTAGCCTAGCAACATTTCAAGAAAAATAACCACCTTTTAAGAAATGTCTTTAGAGTGAAGCAGGTTCATTTTTTCTGAGGAACAAAACCCCTCCTGGGCATTTTTGAATGTTTCATTCAAGACTGAGATGAATCCAGCAGAAGTCTGACAGATGTGATTGTCATAGTGTACTGGGACCAAAATCCTCTTGAGTACTGTGAACTGAATGCTAAAATAAAATCTGAAAACTCTTTCTCTCCATGAAGTACCCTTCTCCAAATCCCCAAGGCATTTGTTTTGTGAAATCCTAAGTGGAGACACATTTTGGTGCCATAATTTCAAACAAACCATCTCTTTTTGAACTCTGCAGCCTTGATGCATTAACGCAATAGCATATCACATTCACAAAATTTCAGATAAACCACGTACAAGCTATAAAAACAACCCATAAAAAGGTCTTAATTTTCCCCACATTTCATTGCCTTTTCCCCACACCACTTTAAGAAAGCCCAGCTTGGTATCTCCTTGGTAAGAGGAGTTGCTGAGGATACATATATATTGTAGTTGGCCATCCAAATATTGTTATGGGTCCTGCCAACTGAATCTATTTACAATTTAATGTTGGTTAGCTTCCCAGGCACCCTGACAAGCAAAGTGAGGTAATCTTACCCATATTTACCATTTTGTGAGGCAGAGGTGAGTAGGCAGTAGAAACTAAACACTCCAAAAAAAATGAATAATTGGGTTAAAATTAGGGTGCAGTATCTTCATATAAAAACTCTGTCGCACCCATTTTCTGGCAACTCTCTTTTGAGATAGAAAGAAGCAAATAAAGAAGTATTATTGTTCTAAGCCCTGAATTTTGCCTAAACTAATATGCTCAAAGCAGTTAAACACTACCATATTGCTTTCTAAAATCAACGTAAAATATTTCAATTCAATGAAGTTTATCTATTGAAAATGCCAGATGATAATTTGGTTAAATATGATTGTCTTTGTGTTGTTTAATTTACTTATTGAAAATAGCACCGGAATAAATAAACTGAAAATAGCCCAGAATAATTGCAAAGAACAGTGTGAGAACCCAGGATAATTCCTCTTCAGACAGGTACCCAAATGTTTTATTATGGAACAAATGCTTTGTAAATATATTACAGAAGCTGAAAAAATTTTTAAAAATAAATAAAAGGGCATCCTTTAGGGGGAAAGGTGAAAATCTCTAAGAGGTAGAGAAAAAAAATTATTTATTCTGTTTTTCTAGCATCACTAGTTTCCAGGTGTTCACCTTTTGATCGTCTACAGGCAATGATTTTCTGAAGTGGTTTCTGATGGTGTCTGACATCATTATAGTACTCTTGAACAATCTTGTAATGTGCTAAACTACACCAAATTAAGTGAGTTAGTGGCCAAAAAAAGGAGTCCAATAGGCCTGAGTATCATGAATGTTTTGCTTACTACTTGTTGCCTCTTATCTTTATGGCTCCAAGGGAAGAAATGAAGTTTTTTGACTCTCAAAGACCTCAAGTGGAGAGAGGATTTGGTGAAGAGCTGTAACAGATCAGGGATAAGTATGAATGGATTCAACAGTCTAAAGCATGTAGATGTTTACAAGTTGCCAGATTTTATCCTTTTTACTCAGTCATGGGTTAATTCATTCATTCATTCATTCATTCATTCATTTATTCATTTATTCATTCAATCACCAAGTATCTATTGAAGCACAACTCTTGGTCCAGTATGTTATGTGGAACATAAAGATGAGAGGTATCTTGATCTTGGACTTTAAGAGTTCATAGTCAGTAAGAGAGAAGTCATACATAAATGAATTGACTCAAAGATAGAATAATGTGTTAACTTGTACAGTGGTGTTATGTATGATTCAGAAGAGGGACCAATTTCTTCTAGCTAGGGTAATCATAAAAGATTCATTTATACATCCATTAATTTAACACATATACTTAGGGACTATTGTAAGATACAGATAAAAAGGCCATTAAAATTCATTTATCTGATCATTCAACAAATAAATATGAATAGGTTTGGGGCTGCATTACTCCAGTCTCTGCCTTCTCCTGTGTGTCTCTGTTTTCTCTTCTTCTATCTCTTATAAGGACATTTACAATTGGGTTAGGGCCCGTTCAGATAATCTGAGATGATCACATCTCAAAATCCTTAGCTTGATTACTTCTGAAAAGACCTCCTTTTCTCCCAATCAAGATCATGTTTACCGTTTCTGAGGGTTAGAATGTGAAGATCTCTTTTGGGGGTCTACCATTCAACCTACTCTAGACGTGCTAAGTAAAAAAAAAGCCTCTTACACATCTAAATGGAAATGTCAGATGAGAACTGGATAGAAGTTAGAGCTGAAGGTAGAGATCAGGTCTGGAGATAATACATTCTGGAGTCATCAACATATAAATGTCTGACACTGTTCAGGGAGAGGTGAACAGAAAGCATAGAAAACAACTGAAGACTCCAACATTAGAGATTTGGTAGAGAAGCTGAGGATCTCATAGGAGCTGATAGTGACTTACTTCTGCAGACTCAAATGTCAACGGGATGGGAGATGAAACTTCATAAGCAAGGACCAGAAGTCATAAAGTGTCAGGCTATGTTTAAGGAACAATGAGTAGTTGCTTCATTTAGAATAATTTGATTTACAGAGCTACTATTTATGCAGAACTTTTGGTAAACTTCATTGGATAGCAGCTTATAATCAGAATGTTTTAAAAGAAAAGAAGGCAGAATAAAACCTGTGGCAATTACATCCTGGTGCATACCAAACTGTTGTCCAACTGCAAACAGGCAAGGCTTAAAAAACAACTTACCACTTTTTGATTGAAAGTGTGAGGCAGTGGTCGGCAAACTCATTAGTCAACAGAGCCAAATATCAACAGTACAACGATTGAAATTCCTTTTGAGAGCTAAATTTTTTAAACTTAAACTATATAGGTAGGTACATTGTTATTAACTTAATTAGTTACTCCTAAGCTGGCCTTTGCTAAAAACTCAAGGGGCCAAAGAATAGCATGTGGCTCGTGAGCCGCAGTTTGCCGACCACTGGTGTGAGGCATTAGATGACTAAATTTGGACAAAATACGCTACTATTAAGGGGAATATATCCTTTGCCTATATCACCCAGGTTGTCTAATGTCATTTCTCCAAACAGGCTAATTACTCATTTCTCCATATTGCCATAATTCCTTAGGGTATTAATTATTGAACCTTAATGAGAATAATAAAGAAAACTCTTTTTTAAGTTTTAAAAATTAAAAGAAGGGAAAATCCAAGCTTCTCTAACATCTTAACTATTTTTCAAAAAAGCCTCTAGCAGGTGATAGACGTGATAGGCTATATCCAATTCTTTCATACTGTCCGGCAAATGTTCCACTGCTTGTGGACACATCTGTCTTGTATTTGTTTTCATTCAGGGACTATTTCATCCTCAGCATGGTTCAGAAATACAAGTCAGCTTACATGCCTTGCAGAGCTGCATTCTTGTCAAAAATAGACACATTGGCTCAAGATCCACAGTCTGATAAGAGGCAAATTCTACGTGCTGCTAGGTTGGGTGTGTTCCCTGAGTTTAGGTGCTTATTGGTCATCTGGGGGAGGACGTAATTGCTGACCAGCCATGGTGATGCCTCTGAAGGAGGTTGTGCTTTCAAACTGCCCTCTCTCCTCCCCTTTTCTCTCCCTACCTCACGTCCCTGTTTAACTCAAAAAGTCAGTTATTCCCAGGGCTCTTGGAGTAGCTTTACCACATTTTCTCTTCCACTCAGTCCTCTCAAGGCAGGAAATAACAAATGAATGTAGAGTAGTGTTAATTCATCCTGGGGTTGATGCTTGATGTGACTCTGGCACCTTCCATTAGAAAATCTAAGAGGAAGCTTCTGGGGTCTTTAGCAGTTGAGTCAGAGGTTCTGGAAAAATAGGAAATACCAAGAGCCATGGTAAACTTTGAACACTTCTCCAATGGTAAGAAGCACATCTCATCATTTTCAAAGCATTGAGTAGAAATCGTTATAGCAGTAGCGTGTCTGTGTATATACACCATGGAAGTTCTTAGGAACTTCTACATACTGGAAAGTTATTGCAATTTATTGTGCTTATTGGCTGGAAAAGCTCTCTGTACCTTCTCTAAGACCCTGGAGAACAGAGGGTGATCCTTTTTCAATGAGGAATCAAGTCTGTGGATCACTCAGTATGAAATAACAATCTGAGTAACTCGAGTATCCAGCATTTATGTTCTTCCCGACCCTGGATCTGGGAAAGTACCTCAGTTTCCCATGTGATTTCTCTCTGCAGCTAGAGCACTTCTGTATATTTTCACTTGGTAATATAAACTACTTTTGAGGCATGAAAGTAATTTTTCAAGGCAAACTGTCTACTGTTGTTTCAAAGCACCCTCGGGGAAAGCACACATAGCTCATGCTTCCTCCTGCCAGAACTTTCTGAACAGATAACTCCAAGATCTCTATCGTTGACATCAATCTAATTTTGTATATGGGTTCAGTTTGACTGAGAGATGGATACTTGGTTTTTTTTCTGCTGTTCTGTTCCTATACCTCATACACCGAAGGCATTTTTTTTTAAAAAACAGTCAATATCTGCATAGAGTTTTGTTTGTCATTCAATTGGACTAATTGAAAAAATGCTACTTGTTACTTGCCCTCTTACTGTTAGCTGGCTTTATTGTTAGTCATGGAGAAAAGGTCTTTATCTGGAATTTTTGTAAAGAAGAAAGAGAGGAAGAATATTATAGGTAGATATACATATAGATATATAGATATAGATATTCATATCCATTTTAAAATATATATTTTACAGAGAGGAAGAAGGGAGAGAGATAGAGAGCCAGAAATGTCGATGAGAGAGAAACATCTACCAGCTGCCTCTTGCACACCCCCTACCGGGGATGTGCCCGCAACCAATGTACATGCCCTTGACCGGAATTGAACCTGGGACCCTTCAGTCCGCAGACCGACACTCTACCACTGAGCCAAACCGGTTTCGGCGAGATGTTCATATCCATTTTAAAGCCGTAATACTGGAGGTGACTTTAGGAATTAGTCTAACCCATTAATATTGCAAATGGGAAATTGAATCCTACAGAATTTAAATTATTTCTCCAATGCCATAGAACTAATTGGTCATAAAGTGATAATGATGACCCAGGCCTCCCAACTCTGTCCCAGGACTGCTTTTCTCCTTACAATATTCTAAAAATGTATGGGCAGTGCAAATGGAAATAGATGACTTAAGTTTCTGATTAGCCTCCTTATATCATGAAATTGCTAGATCAATAAAGATACAGGCATTCATTCCCATAATCACCCCTTTCCATTCATCCCTGCTTTTGAATATGTCAAAGAAATGTCTTCTGCATCTATCCAACTGTGGCTTTTGTTTCTTAGGTAATAGTGATAATAATATGCAAGGTTTAGAATGTAAGATATCTGAGATATGGAAAGACTTCTCTTTTTGGTAGGAAAAGGATAATTATTTTTGATATCTACACTAACAAAAGAGAAACACACAAATTGGCGGTCATTCTGCGACACCCACCAGCCAATCAGGAGTGAATATGCAAATTAACCTGCCAAAGAGGGCAGCAGCCCCACCTCCCAGCTGATCCAGGCCTCTGGGCAGCATGCATGCAGGTTTAGAGCAGCCCAGTGGGAGTGAGAGGGGGGGAGGGGAGGTGGAGACAGAGGGAGCTACAGGAGCAGTGCTCCAGCTGGAGCAAAGACTGCGGCCAGAGCAAAGGCCTGGGTTCCAGGTGTGGGAGGAAAACCAGTGCCGGCAGCCAGGGGAAGGAAGGCCTATTGCATGAATCTTCATGCAGCTGGCCTTCAGTCTTATAATAACAGTTAACATGACACATGGCACACTAGCCTTAATGACTACTTCACCATATCATCCAAATATTTAATTTTCTTTTCAGAAACAGGGCATATTGACATCCATTTTAGCCATATCAAAAACCTTTCCATGATTCTGGATGGAACCAAGCTTGATTTTCCTCAGTGGGACAGAGAGTTGACAAGTATTTAACAAATGGAGAGTAATAGAGAGAGGAAAGGGAGTGAGGACACCCTCAAAGCTCAGAAGCAAACTCCATGGAGAGACAGAAAGAATGTCCATGGACAACCATCAGGTTGGATTTACTTACCAAGCAGAAGAAAAGGGCCATTTGAATTCAAGGGACATTCTACTCCTAGGAACATCTCTTCAAGTCCTAGGGTGTGTGGTGATTGTGAATTTAAAGATCTTGGTAGCTATGTTCTCCGATGGTGTGAGCTTTGTTCATACGAGGCTATCTTTGTGGTTGCTGGGGACTTTCCAGAGAATGCAGTATTCAGGAATTTCAGTGAGTCTTATCTGTATTCCCATGAAAGAACAGATTCTGATTGTTTCTTTAGGCATATATGTTACATCCTTCTAAAAATAAACTAGTGGATTTCCTGTTATGTAAAACATATATATTAAAAAGAAAGGAAAATCCTGCCTCCAGCTAACATTTTTCTATTCATTCTTCTTGTATTTTTTCTAGGCATTCATTTCTTTACTTATACACTAATGAATTCCTCAAAAAGGCAAGTTATCATAAAACTATGCTCTTCTTTAGGAATAATTAAATCTATATTTTATGAAATACATAACTTGTATAATCAAAATAAACACTAACTCCCCCCAAAACACACACACACACACACACACACACTGGTAGAGAATTAGATTTTGGAACTAGCCTTAGAAATAGTTATAACAGAAAAACTACAGTTCATTTCAGCACAAGACTCGATTTCTCATTTTGTGAACAAAGAAGCACTTTACACATCAGTAATTTTTCTGAAAGACATTTCTTGCCCTCATCTGTCTCTATGTACCTTTCCACTCTTTTCCCACAGGTCAAAAATGCTGACTCATGTATAGTGTGGAGCCCAGAAATGGGCATTTCATAATGAGCAGCCCCGCCATTCCTGAGGAAGCTGAAGTCGGAGAGGCACTAGCCAGAGGAAATACGCCCCTAATTCTTTTTAGCAACAGAAAAGTAGCAGAAAAATAAAAATGCACACTGCCGCTGAGTTTTCCCACTTGTTCTTAGCCAAAAGGCCGAGAAGTGATGTGCCACTGAGTTTTAAATACTGTTTCTCCTAAAAGGGAAACAGAAATTTGTTCAAGCACAAGAAGTGTGTATACACAGTAAGGAATTCTGTTTATACAGGAAAAAGACAACTAGTTGAAAAGCAACACTTCAGAGCCAAAATGGGTTTTCGTGGGCTTTTTTGCCGATGTCTTCAACAATTTGATATTTCCCCGCGATGTTGACTGAATTAAGAAAGTAGCCGCATATTAAGTCCTTTACAAGACTGCTGGATTGTACACTTTTTTTTAAAAAAAAAATTGATTTCAGAGAGGAGGAAATAAAAACATCAATAATGAGAGAGAATCATTTATTGGCTGCCTCCTGCACGCCTCCTATTGAGGATCAATCTTGCAACCTGGGCATGTGCCCTTGACTGAAATTGAACCTGGGACCTTTCAGTCTGCAGGCCGATGTTAGGGCTGGATTGCACATTTTCAGCTCAGAGCTATGGCCTCTGGTGAGCCAGATGGTATCCCTTAACTGGAGAGGTCCTTGATTGGTTCATTGAGAGCCTGATATACCATTTACAACTCTGAAGAGCATGTTCTAAAGGCCAAGTTGGAAGCTGCCTGCCATTTTGGAGATTCCCTCTAAAGCATTTTCAATACCTAAAGCATGTTTTAAAGTCCTTAGGAAGGAGGTAAAGTGATGGCCCTTAGGTCTTCAGGGGCCCCCGTGACTGCAGCCTCAGCAAGACCTGAAGCAGGGCTGGTCCTTGGTGGTGGGAGAGGAAGCCTCTTCAGACTGGGCTTTCCAGCACACTTTCCCACACTTCTTGGACTCAGAGTGTGGCTCTTGTCCTGTCCCTTTGGCACGTGGTGGCCTCACCCCATTTAGTTCACCTCGGACTTATCAATAGAAATCCAGAGAATGTGAGCCCTGTCATTTGGTCTCAGTCCTGCTTGTCTGTAACCTTGGCCACTTCAATTGCTGCAGCCTGTCTGCAGAATGATGGCAACGATAGCAGCAACAACAGCAAAGGAGGAAATGGCGCACAGCATGCTTATCCTGTGTCAGGCACCAATCACTTGCATGTACTAGTATCTCCTCATTTAATTCCTACAGCAGCCGGATGAGGCAGATCCTATTCATATCCTCATTTTACAGATGATGAAAATGAAGCATGGGCCAATTAAGAAATTTGCCAAAGATCAAGTAAGTAGTGAGAAGCAAAGTTGGCGGATGAATCCCAAGAGGCCATGCTGTTCTTTGCCTCTCTATGCTGTCATCATCCGGTATTCAACGAAGTAACAATAAGTAGGCCATATGTGCGTGTAGCTATAAAGATTAATCTATACGATCTTCACAAGAACTGTATAATCGCTGAGATGATCCCATTTTTTAAACAATACAATAACGCTGCACCATGCTCTAATTATTTTAGGCAGCCCGGTAGTGAGCAACCTTGTAAATATTTACTTATGCTGATATTCTTCCTATAACTGAGGAAATTTTTATATCCAGCTGGGAGGTGTTACTGGAGACTAAGATTTCTAACCTTTCCTCCTTGATTTTTTTTTTATTACAGCTTTACAATGACTGTTTAAAGCCCTTTAAGGTGATCCATTAGAAAGAGTGCGCCTCTTCACACAGGAGAACAGAATGCCATTCGGTTCCTTCAAAGAAATTTGGGACAGATGTGTTTTTTCTTCTCCTTCTTCAGCGAACCCAGAAGATGAAAAATGTATTTTATTTCTTGTGAAATGCATTTTCCTGTTGATCTCAGTATGTGGGACTGTCAAAGCTTATAAGTTTGGCAGTGTTCTAACATGGCCATTCTGTTCCCCTTTAGAAACTTATTAAATCTATATTTTTTTATGAAAAACAGAATGTGGGATTTTTTGTTTTGTTTTGTTTTGTTTTTCATCTTTTGACATTTAGTTGTTGGTTGGTGTTTTTAAGTCATGCTAGATTTCAAACCAGGATGACAAAACATCCAAGACTTAAGTGTTTCCAAAGCCTCTTTGTGAAGGGGGAGGCACCGTGAATGTCAAAGCCTGGCACGTCCATACAATGTTTGATCTGGGTATCAACAGCGATTTCAGAGCCGCTAACTAAGTCCTTTAGGTTGATGTAGGTTTTTCAGGAGGGAAAATGAATAGATTATATTTTATCCCCAAGGTTTCTTATACAACCATGCTACTAAATTGCAGTGTAAGGTACAAGGTATTTTCAAAAGTTTGGGCGTGGCCGAGCTTGGAGGCAGGTGGGCCAACTGGGTGGCATTTCGTTTCCTTCTGGGCCTAGGGTCCTACGAGGCTTTCCCCGGAACCCAGGAAACTCCACTGGCCTGCCAATAGCACCACCCCTGAAACCACGAGGGCTCCTCACCAGAGTTCAGTCTCCTTTGCCATATCAGGCCCTGTCAAGCCCTAGTGTTAATATCTCAGCTTTGCCTGATACAGTAGATGTTTTAAAGAGCTTCAGGGTTGACATTCGTGTGTCTCAGTGTTTTGGAAAAGTTATTCTATTATCTCCATACAGAAGCGCAGTGCATTTGTGCACAGGTGGGGTCCCTCAGCCTGGCCAGTGATTGGGGCTGACTGAGGGTGTCTCACCCAGTCCTGATTGGGCTGATTGGGGCCGGCTGAGCAGGGGGAGGGATCATGGGAGGTTGACCAGCCATGGGAGATTGGCGTGGGAGCGCACTGACCACCAAGGGGGCAGCTCTTATATTCAGCATCTGCCCTCTGGTGGTCAGTGCACATCATAGCGACAGGTCAACCGGTCATCCAGTTGTAAGGGCTGCTTAGGCTTTTATATTATTATTATTATTATTATTAATATTCTGGGTGATTGGGTTTTACTTCCTCTAAGATTGTTTGTTGAGGCTTCATGTTCATTCTCCTCTGATCACTGATGGCATTTTTGCATTTGCTAAGAAGCTTTCTGCAGGAGCAGAAATGACTACTTTCTATCTTTGGCTCATTTCAACTTCCTTCTTGTTGAAATATTGTGATTTAAGAATATTCACCTTTAAATATTGTGATTTCAGAATTATGATTATTTATCTAACATACATTAACCAAATCATAGCATGATGGCTGATAAGAATTAATATGCATTACACATCCTAACATGAAACTCAGCATTAGTTATGGCTCCCACATTGTAATTCACCTCTTCAACCTGCTAGTCTGACAGGGCACAATCTTGGGAGAAGCAAGGAAAGAGAGAGGAGAAAGAATTCTCTATAGATATGCATGAACATTCATATGATGGGGAAAAAAAAGGAGTTCAATAAGCATTTTCCTATACGCCCTACACTTTAATAGGCTGAATTTTCTCGTGCCCCATTATTTTGCTGTTGGGTGCAGAAGAAATAACTATTCTACAGACAGCTCACAATAGAGTGGCCAATAACTACAGTTACATAGGATGCTTTTACAACATTTTCCCAGAACCCATAACTTGAATAAAAAGCTCTTTTTTTTTTTCTTTGCTCCACTGTGATGAGAACAGTTTGTTTGACTCATACCAAACCAAATCAAGCATTTCTGTGGGCACAAAGAGGAATGTGGAGCAAAGGAAGATTTTCTTCCTTAAAAAGAATATGTGCATGAACAACAAAATTGCTTGAAATTTCACAACATCCTTCCCATTAAACATTGAAGGCAGATTCGGGTCAGTCCAATTTCCTTTGCAGATATTTGACTTTAAAAAGCACCCATTCAACTTTTAAAAATGGATTTGTGTGAAATGATATATTTAAAAAAGGGCATGGTCTACAAGTCATGATGAGTTTCAACTCATGCTTAACCTCCGTCTTCATCTTTAAGAGATGCAAATTGCCTTCTGGCAGCGGAGGACCTGTCAGGTCCCCGTTTCTCCAAATCACCCCCTAAAGATGTTTCCATTAGACACTCAGAGTGACGCTGAAATAAGCGAGTCTCTTCAAAAGGCTGGCTGCCCCCTATGTAGGAAAATAGAAGTCACTGGGAGAAATGTTTAAAAAGCACTAACGGATTAATACATGGTTGTTTTTCAGCTCAACCCTGCGGGGACATTTTAGGCTCTCACATGACTGATTCTGATACCTCTGTGGCTGACTTTAAGAGGGGCAGCAAAACTCTTCCTAAGTGGTCTGGGGGTCACACACTTTCAGTTTTCCAAGATCACAGATCTGTGACTGTACTTGTTTAAGGAATGCCATCTATTTGCTTTTCCTTTCAAGAAGGTAATGTTACAAATGTATTTTAGATGTGAAACTCAATCATTCTTTGCATGCATTCGAGAACTGCAGATTCTGGTGTTAGAGTCAGCGGGATTCTCTGTTCCCTTGTCCTTGAAACAAGGAAAATATCTTGCCTCCCTTCTCACAAGCTTGCTGTGAGCACTAAAATTGTGAGAAGTCAGGTAACTGAGGTGTGGATTGAGTCCTTGACGGTTATCTGGGTTTCACTCCTCACTCAGCCTTGCAAGAACCCTGGTGAAGAAATGAGACAGGCCACCTTTATTATTCCTAACTCATAGACAAGGAAACCAACACTTAGCAAGGATAAATCTTTTGCCCAACATCAAAGAGTTTGTATGTACAAGAACCAAGATGGAATCTCAATGCTTTTGACTCAACAGGAAACTGTTGCGGCCACAGTGGCTGATGCCAGAAGTATCGGAGGAGAGGGAAATTCGGTGCTTATTAGATCCAAACATAATCTTGAGTAGGATTTAATCCACACTTCGGCAGATGAAGAACCAAGGAACAGAGAGGACAAAATGTCATATTCTAGGTCAGCAATTTTCAACCTTTTTCATCTCATGGCACATAAACTAATTTCTAAAATTCTGCAGTTCAATACAAATTATACTATATTTTTGGCCAATTCAACAAAAAAAAATAGTTATAATTAGGATTCATTTACACTGGATGGCTATTGTGTTGGCTGTTGTCATTTTTTTTTTTTTAATTTGACAATCGAAGGGAAAAGATATCAGTGCCCCTGACTAAATAGTTAGGTATTGCATATTTTAAGAAGTCTTGCAGTACACCAGCTGAAAATTGCTGCTCTAGGTCAATCACACACTTAGCTGAAGAACCAGGACTGGAATCATCCACCGGTACTTTTCCACAACTCCATGCTATTTTGGCAAATGATCAAGTCAGAATTTTGATTCTCAAATTTGACATTTTTTTAAAGAGTACATAGATCTCTAGAAATGGAAAAATTAGAATTGTCTCAATTTCCTCCCAAGTGCTGACCCCCACATAGAAGGACAGACCACATGGCTATTTTAGAAAGTGTGTATAATAACTCTCTATCACCTAATATGAATGCTGCTGTGAATTTTAATTACTATTCATTAAGGGCACTGATGTGGTTTGTTAAATGAAATGCTCTAAATTAATTTTATGATGTCGGTTATAAAGAACAAAAAACTCTCAAAAACCCAACTATTTTGGTCAATACTGATTTGACCAAATAGTAATAATTATTACTATTAACTTGACCAAATAGTAATAATTATTACTATTATTATTAACATTATACTAGATATCATATCAAATCATATATAATAATATATATAGCATGTAGTATATGTTATAATAATATTAATACACAATATTAATAATTATGCTGTATCTATGGATTATCTTTAAATCCGAGTTTTAAAATATTTACTATTGAAGGAAGACAATGTATCTTTCTGATGAATTCTAAAGTTTATGTCAAATGTAAAGGCTGCACAGAATTACCTCCTTGGAAATAATTATCTCCAGAGGGAAAGATGCAATAGTCTTACCAAATTTCCTTCCTTCTCATCACTGGCATCAAATATTTAGGGAAATATTTTTCCTCTGAACTACTTTACTCTGATTAGCTCAAAGTCTCTATTGTAGGCTCTTTCAAATACCTTAAAAAGGCCAGCTCTAGAGAGACAATGAAGGTCAACTTAGAGTGACTTACGATGGATCTATACACACACGCACATGCAAATACATGCACAGCCTGATACAACACTTTGGAGGATTTGGTATACTCTTGAATAATATTTTATGTGCATCTCTCTTTAGGGGAATACCTACTCATAAATAGGATAAATAAGCAAAAATCAGATTCCTAGAAACACAAGACTGGTTTACTTAGAAACAGTGAATGCTGAAGATGGAAAGGACTGTAGAGATCATTTCATTCAAATGATCTGACTCAGGAGACTCAGGCCCGAAGGAAACGACTTGCCCAAGGCCACTCAGCTCATCAGTGGAAGCCAGGTCTTCTGAATCCTAATCCAGGGCCCTTTCCCCAAGACCAGCAGGATGACCGGTCATTGCAATGACCTGGTTGATTCATTTCGTTCTTCTCACCACAGAAATGGCTGCAGTAAGATTCTTTCCTGCCCCCATCTGCTGACCTGATAGTTTTGGTACATGAAGCCCCAACGCTGCCCTGTCCTGACGATCCCTACAGAACACCTTTTGCCCCAGAGAGCTCCTTGGGAACCTCCGTAAAAGCACTAAGGTCTTAGCAGCCCCTTTGCAAATGACTTTCCCAACACAGAGCTGAGAGGTGGTGAAAGACAGGCAGGGTGCTGGGCAGAAATGGAAGGCTGACTATTTCTAATAGATGCTGGGGAACGCTGGACCATTTCTGCTGATAGGTACTCAGTCTCAGAATCATCACGAGGACGTTGTCTCTATGGATGAGTAAGCGCCACCGGGGTTCCAAGGCTGGATGAGCGGAATGAGGTGATGACCTTTGGGCTTGAAACGCATGAATAATAGAATCTCTAGGATGGGCACACCTTCCTAGCGTCCTTCTCTACTTATAAATAGGCGACTGGGCCATCCATGGTAGCACTGGTCACAAATACCAAACATAAATAATTGAAGAGGCAATGTTTAAATGTGGGAAAGACAAGTTCCCAGATGGATTTGCTGCTTACCTCTCTCTCCGCGTGCCTCTACCCTTCTGGCATCTCCATGGATACCTCGAGGGCAGCGTGAGGTCTTTGAAACACTGTCAATCTGCCATCTTGTTTAAATTCCCCTACATACTTGTGTCTTTCTGTCACTGTCTTGAAGAGGGTCAGAAAATAGAAGAACGTATTAGAAACATTTTTTCTTAAATTACCTACTTGAATGCAAACCAACATGTCCATGAATTTAAGAAGAAAAGCTACCACTCTAACTGGTAGAGAATTCACTCACAGCCCAGTGGGAGCGCCACCAACGCAGAGAAAAGTCTAGTACCACATAGAGCAGAATTCATGGATTGTCTCGTGAATCACTTGTTTATTTTTTTAATCTATTTTTATTGATTTCAGAGAAGGGAGAGAGAAACATCAACGATGAGAGAGAATCATTGATCGGCTGCCTCCTGCACGCCCCCTGCTGGGGATTGAGCTCACAACCTGGGTATGTGCCCGTGACTGGAATCAAACCCAGAACCCTTCAGTCCCCAGGCTGATGCTCTATCCCCTGAGCCAAACCAGCTAAGGCTCACTTATTTTTATAGTGGTGATATTTATCAGGCCTCTTGAATATAGACTCACACACAGAAACTCTTTCCACACTTAGGAGTCATAGATAACATTGAGAGCCCTTTCAACTCCTCTAATAATCTTAATTTTGACATGAGTGATAACCTTCCTTAGCCCCAGTCAGAACCGAGACGTGCGGCTAGTGAATGAAATGATAAGTATGAGTCTGGCTTCACGTTTGCTAGTTCATCAAGTCAGACACGCCCGATCGCTGGGATGGCGGGGCCATGTCACGATTCCATGGTGAAGCACTTAAACCCAACACGTTACACACGTGCTCCTACCATCAACTAGCCGCTCCGTGTTTAAAGTAAGAAGGCCGGCGATGTATAAATTACGCCCCTCCCGCCCAAGGACTGTGTAACAGAGGCCTTCCTGCCCGAAGCACGAGGCACAGCGAAGTCACGTTCCATTAGAGCCGAGGGAGCAAGAAAATATACAACATCAGGGAGGCCAAAACAGCGTGTCAGATTCGATTTACCAAAACAAACAGAGGAACGGTCCTGGTCATCTCACAGCCAGTGTGGCTGAGAAACAGGATCCACCCCAAGAAGCCTGAAAGGATGAGATGATAAAGGAAATATGGTCATGTCATGAAGTTTATTTGATGCGTCTGGTGCCAAGCAAATAAAAACACAAAAGGAACAGCAACACCCAATAGCATGGAAAGAGGTGGAAGACAAGATGGTAGAGCTTTTTTTTTTTTTTTTTTTTTTTTTTTTAACGACACAGTGGCAAGGGAGAACAAGCTGTGGACTGTCAAAGCAAAATCTGATGCACTTGGCCCTGGACTTGGCCCTGTTCTGTTTGGGCTGCCGTGGGCTGCATCAGACCGCCGGAGAGCAACCTCCTGGTGGGTCACGGAACGGTCAGCTGCTCATCTCTACTGTTGTTCCAACCCCGGCCGCTACGGGAAGGGGGGAATGATTTCTTAGAGGACTTGGGCTATTTATAAAATAAATATAAAGTCTGATCTCCATTATGCACCAATGATAGTGCAGGCGAGCTGGGCGTCAGCCTCCTGTGTGTGTAAATTGCCCCGTGCTGGGGAGAAACACAATCCAGTCCGCCGGACACCGGGCCGCAAGGTAGAGCGGCCGGTCTGCGGGCAAGTAATGACTTGCGTTTTCAGCTGCTTCTTGGTAAGAGCTTTCGTAATTGGAATCAGTTATTCAAAACATCGCTAAATGTGATTTAAATGGCAAGGATTTAATAACGGAGAGAGAAGCCATTAAAGAGGTCCAAGCAGGGGAGAAGGGAATTCCGTTTTTTCGAGCAGAGGGAGAAAAATAAAGCAATTACTTGATGTAAAGGCCAGAAACAGGACTCCTGCTGTCAGGGAGAAATCAAATCTGTCAGCAATTAGTGGGATCTTAGGAGGTAAAGAACTCTGCAGTGTTGAGCGGTGGATAAGGGGTTAGCAATTATAGGAACTGATAAAAGTGTTCTGGTTTCCAAACAGCAGGTTAACAAGCCTTCCTTTTTTCATAACTTGATGCAGATGTGATGGGTCACACTTTATGATATGTTCCGTGGTCCGCCGAGAAGTTCCTGCGTCAGTCCATGGCGCTGTCTCTCTCCATCCCAAACAGTATTCCTGCTACCCAGCTCTTAAGGATACACAAGACAGCAGTTTGATAACAAGGTTCTTCCATAATCAAAAGGGGGAAATCATAATTCCAATATTATTCTTTGATTTTTTTTTTTAAATCAAATGAGAAATCCACAGCCCTGTGTCTGCTCTTCCCAGGGGGGTTGATCCTTACTGGTATTTTCAGCATGGAGAAAACATGACATGATATAAACCAGAGAATTTTTCATCAAATAAATAAGCTGACTTTACCATGATTTGCTTGCTCATTATTTTTTAGCCTCGGCCATTAAAAAGCCCACTACATGTATTTGCACACTGACAAGATCCACAAATGACTCCTCTCCGAGTGCTTTAAAAATCATTTTGCATTGATGTATGGGGGTTGTGAAACTCAGTGTGATACCTAAAGTCATAGCAGAAAGGAAAATCAATTATTCTGTCACAAAAACAGTTAGGCCTTTCAGTTCAAGGACCTACGTTGTCTGCTGAGAGAATGCTCAAATGTCAATAAAGATGAGTGTTTGGGGTGAGGTCATGTGAAAAGACTAGAGCCCTAGAGTTCTCTGGCCAGCTATGATGGTGACCTACCTGTGTTTCCACAGACTTGTACTGTGTTAGAGAAGTAAGTGATTGTACCTGAGCAACAGCACTGCAAAGAGTAATCTATCATTAAGACTATGCTACTGAATTCTCAATGGACAAGAGGCATCAAAACCAAGGCGTTGTTTATTCCTTTTTCTCCCCCTCTGAGAAATTCAGTCTTTTTAAAAAAAAAAATTTTTTTTTAAATAGATTTTATTGATTTTTACGGAGAGGAAGGGAGAGAGTTAGAGAGTTAGAAACATCGATGAGAGAAAAACATTGATCAGCTACCTCCTGCTCACTGGGGATGTGCCCGCAACCAAGGTACATGCCCCTGACCGGAATCGAACCCGGGACCTTTCAGTCCCCAGGCTGATGCTCTATCAAGTGAGCCAAACCGGTTAGGGCTGAGCAATTCAGTCTTAATGTATGTGGGCATTGGGGAGCTCCCTGTTTCCACTTTAAACACAGTAGGAGCTAATTATTCAATAATTTTAGAACATCCAATCACTGTATCTGCAGAGTTGAAGACTTTGAGCAAAACTCCTGCGACCAGACAACTCTGGCAAACGGTCATCTTGGGCCTGCAGACCTCCCTTTTCGGAAATGAGCCAATTGTCTTCAAAGCCACTGATCATGAGACATCTGTGAGGCCCAAGTGATGCAGACACAGGCTCTCCGGAGTGCCCCTTTAAGGGCAGCTTTTAATCTGGCTCTAAAGCCAACCTAAGACTTATTATTGTATTTTTCTCTTTCGCAACAAAGCAATCCATTTTATATTATATAATATAGCACATATTACTATATATTATTGTTCAGATTTTATATTGTTTTATGCATGTTTACAAACAGCACCTAGCAGACTTTGTTGAATAAGTTTGAGGGGAAAGTGTGATATGAAATTGGGAGTGAGGGGCCATCCTCCAGAGCAGCTAAAGGTCCCTGCAGAGAATTAGAGCTGGCCCTTTGCATTGCTGTCGACTGCACACGATAGAGCTTACAAAGACTCCATACCCCAAATGTGCCAGATACTGTGCCGAGAGCACTCATTTGTGCTTATGTTTTAATTGCTAATAAGCAATGAAGAACTGTTCATCAAATACTTTTTAAAAATATGTTTTTATTGATTTCAGAGAGAGATAGAAATATCAATGATGAGAGAGAATCACCAATTGGCTGCCTCCTGCACATCCTCTACTGGGGATCGAGCCCACGACCTGGGTATGTGGTCTGATTGGGAATCGAACTGTGACCTCCTGGTTTATGGGTCAACCCTCAACCACTAAGATACACAGGCCTGGCAATAAAGATATTTTTAATAGACAAGTGACACCCACACCTCTGACTTGTTAATTCATATATGCATATACAGATATTCAGATATTTATTTTTAATATAGAGGACTGAAAATTTTGGGCTTCCTTAGTTCCTGGTTATTGCTATTACTAGAGGCCCAGTGCATGAAATTCATTAACTTGGGGGGTGGGGAGGGTTCCTCAGCCTGGCCTGCACCCTCTTGCAGTTTGGGGGCCCTTGGAACACTCACGAGAAGTGGGCCTAAGCCACTGTCGGACATCCTTAGCGCTTTCACAGAGGCAGGAGAGGCTCCCACCACCGCTGCTGCACTTGCCAGCCATGAGCCCAGCTTCTGGCTGAGTGGTGCTCCCCCTGTGGGAGCACACTGACCACCAGGGGGCAGCTCCTGCATTGAGCATCTGCCCCCTCGTGGTCAGTGTGCATCATATCGACCAGTCATTCTGCCATTCAGTCGATTTGCATATAAGCCTTTTATTATATAGGATTTTTTTTTTTTTTTTTTTTTTTTTACAATTTCTCATTGTCTAACTACTAAAAGTCACTTAACTCCAAAAGACACCACTGAGAGCAACTGAGTTAAGGAAGTCATAAAGATTAAAAATACAGGATAAAAAATAGATTCAGCGCAGAGAAATGTTCCTGAGGAAGAGTTTGCATTGTGGTTTTCCTCTGATGATTGTACCGAAATTCTTGTCATTGGATCACACCCTCCCTTCTGGGGTCTGGCTGGCCAGGTGCTGAGCTCTGGGTTCACATGCAGGCAGATTTCACGAGTGGCTGGCTGCATTCCCACACCACCTTGTGTGTTCTGCCACCGGTGGGCCGTGCTTCCTCTGATTCCTAAGTTTCGTCATCCAGACGAGTCATTGCCACACTGAACAGGAGGTCCTTTTCTGCAGTCCCTGGAAATTACAAAGCCATCCTCCAGCCTTGCCTCAGAAAAACACATGGCATGGATGACCTCTTATAGACAGGGAGAAGGATCTGCTAATTCCTCCGAGGCTTTGCGTAGTTAAGGTTGAGCATTCACTCTGGTCTCTCACTTAAAACATCTGCACAGCCTTCACCGGTTTGGCTCAGTGGAGAGAGCATTGGCCTGTGGACTGAAAGGTTTCAGGTTCGATTCTGGCCAAGGGTATGTACCTTGGTTGTGGGCACATCCCCGGTAGGAGGCGTGTAGGAGGCAGCTGATCGATGTTTCTCTCTCATCAATGTTTCTAACTCTCTCTCCCTCTGTCTTCTTCTCTGTAAAAAAATCAATAAAATATACATTAAAACACACACACACACACACACACAAACACCTGCAGAGGGATGGGGCCCATAGGATGTAGTTGTAGGTGTCACACACTTCGCATCACTGAGGAAGCTAAGGCTGTTTTGATGAGGAACACCAAGGACTCAACGGTGTTCAGAGCAGTGAGCAGAAAGCCCATGTGACTGTTCTACAGGATTCACCAAGCCCAGCCCAGGGTTGTTGCGCTAACGTCTCCCCTCAGGTCCTGGGAAGATCTTCCCAAGCCAGAGAGAGAGATGCTCAGGAGGCTCCTGCGTCCGATCCCATCCTCGGACAGCTGCCTGGGCGCCGAGCAGCTGCCGAAACTGCTTCCCTGGAGTCTGGCCTGCAGAGGCAGCTTCCAGAACGCGAGGCAGAGCAGCCTCTGCCAGAGCAGTGGCCACCACATGGGCGACAATGACACACCAAAGCTCAGGGCCTCCGGGCCGGGGCCAGGAGTCAGGGCCGTGTGGGCGACAATGCCGTGTGCTGTCATTGCGGGGAGGCTGCATGACAATCGTCACTCCTCACTTGCGCCCAGCTGGTGCCTTTGGGAGGACAGTCCGCTCCCAGAAGCGGCCTTGCTGAGTGTCAAGCAGGACCCGATCCTGTTGCCAAATTTGAGATTGGCGTGTGTCCACGGGGATGCGGGCGCGGATGGTGATGTCTGCCTGACAGTTCCCAGGGAAGGCAATCCTGGGGCGGCAGCCCTACTTGGCAGCAAGAGGGGAAGCTTGGTGAACTGCAGTTTTGGGGGGAGAATGGAGGGGTTTGTTTTACAACAACTTGCTGAATCCCTTCCACCATGTAGTTGGGGAGTGGCCTCTTCGCCTTCCCACTCCCAGTCAGGAGCCTCCTTCTCTTAGAGACAGGATTGAACTCTGCCTTCATTTTGTAATTTTTAAAAAATATATTTTATTGAATTTTTACAGAGAGGAAGGGAGAGGGATAGAGAGTTAGAAACATTGATGAGAGAGAAACATTGATCAGCTGCCTCCTGCACACTCCCTACTGGGGATGTGCCCACAATCAAGGTACATGCCCTAGACTGGAATCGAACACGGGACACTTGAATCTGCAGGCCGATGCTCTAGCCACTGAGCCAAACTGATCAGGGCTTCATTTTGTAATTTTGATCAACTTCATTTACTGCTTATTCAGCCCTCTGCATAGGCACTCGCCCCCCTGCTCAAGGGCAAATATTTTTTTAAATATATTTTTATTGATTTCAGAAAGAAAGGAAAAGGGAGAGAGAGAAACATCAGTGATGAGAGAGAATCATTGATTGGCTGCCTCCTGCACACCCCCTACTGGGGATCGAATCCACAACCCTGGCATGTGCCCTGACGGGGAATTGAACTGTGACCTCCTAGTCATAGGTCGACACTCAACCACTGTGCCATGCCAGCTGTCAGGGGCAAGTAGTATAGAAAACTAGTATTGCCCGTGTGGATGCCACCATTCCTGATCATCCGGCTGGGGCTGTGGGCAAGCAAAGTGGGACAACCTGGCCACTTTCTCACCCTCTCGGTAGCCTTGTTGCTTCCCTGACATGACCCTGCCTTGCACAGGTGGGTGTGGTAGGTTGGCAGTCTGCTCAGGTCTCTTGAAGATGCTCCTCTCTCTGTGAGGGGTGCTCTCTCTTTGTATTGTCAAGCTCTCAATGACAGTCCTAAGATCAGGATTTAAAAACCATCTAGACCGTGGACCTATTTTAAGAAAGACAGGCTAAGTTTAGCATAGGAGTTTGTTTAATACTACTCTCAGATCTCATGGGGAAAAATTCTTCCTGTGGAACAAATTTTAACTACAATGTTGAGTGGTCATGAGTAAATTTTATGTTTTTGCTTATTTTCACCCCAAACAAATGTTGATACGTATTTATGGAAATGGTAAAAATCTGTGAGATTAAACAAAAAGGTAATTAAATATCACTGCTTTCCATTATTCTTTTAACATGAAACTCAGATTCTCAGCTTGTCTTCTTTCCTTTTGGTTGGATTCCTCTCAGTGTGGTCCTTACTGAGTGTTTTCAATGGTAATATATTCATGCACAGTTTAGTGACTCCACTTCCCCAATGTCTAAGAGATGACTACCAGGAAAATGAATCATCAGAGCTACTTTTCCCCCCTGCAATCATGGGTGGAACCTCTACAATAAATGAGAAAACTATTGCAAAGTGTTATTCATTCAATACATCACACAACCTTGATATACCAAGTAGTAGTCACGTTGCTAACTTAGGAGTAAAGACTATGAATTAATCTGCTCACTGTCTCTGACTAGTTCTATGATCCAGGAAGAGACAAAACATTTCAAAATGGACTTCAAGGTTTCACACGTTATGTTGCAATTTTGACCCCTCATAGGGGTTTTCTTCTAAGATAGAGATATTCTGTAATTCCACAAAATGTCACTATTTCCGCTCTCTCCTTCTGATTGGATCCTCCATGAAAACCTAGGTATGTCCAAAATGAAAGCCCAAAAAAACAAAACTCACATGGTGGAAGTTGGGTATGGTTTGTTAAAAGCCTTTCAAAATGTGTTCAGAAACATATCACCTTATATCAGAGAAAGTAAAAATGGGAATGCTTTTTTATCATTCATCAAACTGTCAGTAGTTTCCGGAACATTTCTAGTTAGTAAGCAAGTCTTTTAAAGGGCATTTTCAGCCGAAACCGGTTTGGCTCAGTGGTAGAGCATCATCCTGTGGACTGAAAGGTCCCAGGTTCGATTCCGGTCAAGGGCATGTACATTGGTTGCGGGCACATCCCAGGTAGGGGGTGTGCAAGAGGCAGCTGGTCGATATTTCTCTCTCATCGACATTTCTAGCTCTCTATCCTTCTCTCCTCCTCTCTATAAAAAATCAATAAAATATATATTTTTTTAAAAAAATAAAGGGCATTTTCAAAATGGGAGAAATGCAAATTAGAGGCATTGGTCATTACACAGAAAATAAAGGAACTGTCAAAGACAGAACCAATGGAATTCCTATGGCACTGTGGACTAGACATTGATGGAGCCTCACCATACCATCATCTGCAGAATTGTGTCCTGGGTCCTTGTAGGTGTTGAAACCCTGATAAGTTGTTGAAACTCTCTAAGCTGCCTTGTATGAGAACAAAGGCAATTCTGCCTTATCTGAATTCCATCCTTCGGGCTGTGATAGTGCAAAGTTCCAGGGTGACTGTAGTTTGGAGAATGTGTTAAGGGTAAAAGTCAGGGTGACAGCAGGAGGGGGTGACTACACTACTTCTGTTTTTCCATATGGGCAGAAAATTTCAAAATTAGTTCTATTCTTGCGACTTTATGATAATTAAGTATCTTTTTAAAAAAGCTTTTTATTGACTTTGAGAGAGAAAAGAAGTGAGAAGGAGAAAGAGAGAGAGAGAGAAAGAGAGAGAGACATTGATTGGATGCTTCTAGCATGCCCCCTACTGGGATGAAGCTGGCAACCTGGGCATGTGACCTGACCAATAATGGAACCAACAACCTTTCGGGGCATGGGAAGACAGCCAACCAGCTGAGCCACACCAGCCAGGGAGATCATGTAATGCCTTCATGAAAGTTCAGCATTGACTTATAGGTAATTTAAAATTGTTGTGTGTGTGTGTGTGTGTGTGTGTGTGTGTGTGTGTGTGTTTTCTTTCCCCCATTTGCAAATGAGGAATCTCTGCTGGTCTATGTGTCCTCTTGCCTTCTTTCAAATCCTTCACCCAGGTATATTGTGAAGTAGCTGGATGAAGTTAGGGGTGTGCTTTATGGCCATGAAAATGGAACAAGATTAGTTGTTGCTTTTTACCATTCAGCCTACACTTATTATTGTTGCTGACTTACTAACATCATATTCCAACCATTTGACACAGTGACACCATAACTGCATTTTACAGCCATTTACATATTTTCTGTTTCGTGTGAAATCTGCTAGGGCATCATGATCAGGAAAACAGAAACCAGAAGACCTAGGTTCTAGCGTGAGTTCTAGTCCCATCCTACCCACCTGGGCAGCCAGAACTCTACGCTACAGTTTCCTACTTGCAGGATGAAACAGTAAGACCAGGCATAATGGCTTTATATGATGAACAGTCATTGAGATAATAGGCTTTGCTTAATATAAATAAATTATGCAACGATGTTTTTCACATCACTAACAAATTAGTCAACATAATGGTAATCTCGTGTCTAATAAGAGACTGTTCTCCTTCTTATGTGATATTAATGTCAAGTGCCTTAGTGTTCTTGCATTCAAAGAGCTTCCTCAAAGTGACCTGGACTCGCTCAATGACCATCCATTCTGGATTTTTCCGATATCAAATGTTAACAATTATTCCACACCAAGTGCTTCTGGGGTCTGTGGCCCCCGCACAGCGGGCCCGCCTCCATCCTCTGCGAGCACACGCTGAAGCAGTGGTCTTTGTGCCTCTTCCTCATTGTGATTCTCGGGCGCCATGGTCACTTGAATGCTTGAGCCTGGGAGGCAACGGTCCCCGGCGTTAAGTCAGCTTCAGCTCTTGAGATCTGAAAGGCAGCCACTTGGAGCTCATTACACATTTCTGCTCGACACTCCTGCCTTCACATTGTATCGCACAAGAATGCTAAATTCATGTTGGCTGCGTGACAAGGCCTGTTTTCTGCCTGGATGCCCAGGTCTCTCTTTCTTTCCATTGTCTCTGGTTGGTGTCCAAGGATAAAGGATACTTCCCATCAAAAAAGGCAGGATTGTTGGCGGTGAAAATACTTCCCGCTCGCTGGCACCCTCGGAGAACTTTAAAGACTCCACCGAGGACAGTCACTGCCTTGGGAAGCGTATTCCTTTTTATGCATCTTTTCTGAAGAGAAAAATAAGAGCTTGTCTCTTTGAGTATCTTACTCTTTGTAATTTTTGTTTGCAGCCCATGAGAACCATAGGAAAAGTGAAACTTCTGAACGCAAAAGACTTCTGAGTGACTAAGACCTTTAATGCTCACACACCTGATCAAACCTCTTTTTGCCTCGGAGAAACCCGTTTTCCCAGGCTGCCCGAGATCCGCCAGGTCTGGCTTCACACTGGAACGGGAGTCCAACTTTGCTGAAATGTAAATATTTTAAATATGTCAGGGGCCTGTTTTGTGGATAAAGGTAATTGTCTAGGAGTGAATGCCCTTCCATTCTGTTTACTGAGCAGTCAACAGCAGTGCCTGGAGGTATAACGCGCCTTGAATGGCCAGCCCTTCTGTCTTAAGAGCAGCATAGAGTGCTCTGTCTAGCTGTGCCCTAATTTACAGACACATGTCTGTTGGCCTGGGGTGAGGGCTGCGGGGTGGAAGCTAGTTAGCCCTAGCTGTTTGGCTTAGTGACTGGAGCACCGGCCTGCCAGCCAAAGGGTCCTGGGTTTGATTCCTGCCAAGGTCATGTTCCTCAGTTGCAGGCTTCTCCCCGGCCTGGGCCCTAGTCAGGGAGTGTGCAGGAGGCAACCCATTGATGTGTTTCTCTCACATCAATGTTTCTCTCAGTCTTTCCCTCTCCCACTCTCTAAAAATCAATGGAAAAACATCCTCGGTGAGGATTTTTAAAAAGCCATTTAACTGCTTCCTTTGAGAGGCTGAATAGCATTGATGCATTAGGGAGGTGGGAGGGTATGAGGTCGGCCTGCACTTTTGAGTGTGTGTGTGTGCACACATGCATGTGTAGGTGCATGTGCGTTCGCGCACGTGTGTTTGTGTGTGTGTGTGTGTGTGTGTGTGTTGTTTCCCACAGGGAGAAACTAATCTCTTGGCTTAGATCCACCTTAGTATTAGCCTCAGCGCGTACTCCCCCCTTTTCTCTAAATCATTATTAAGTTTATTACTCCTCTCTGCTGTTGCTGGGAAGATTAACAGCACTCCCGGGGGGGAGCTCTGCCGAGCGCTGCAGCTCTATAAATAGCACCTGCTGCCGAGTCTCCAGGGCCCGGTATCTCCCCAACACATCTTGGTCTTTAAACAGTTTGTTCAGAAGAAGGAAGCCAAGGGTCGCCGTGCACTTCGGTGTTATGCGGAATGTGTTTTATGGATTGTGGCTTTTTCTCCAGGAAGTTGGGCCTGGCGGGTCCCTGAGAGAGACAGAACGTCCCAGCACCTCCCGGGGGAGGCACGGCTCACTAACCAAGCTCGCCAGGCTGTGGCAGAACCTGCCGGACCTGTAGGGGTAGTGCCATGCTAATAGCTCTGGCTAGTAATGCCCCCTCACCCATTTTTGTAATTTCTTCTCTCTGGGGAGGTTTTGGGCTCAGCTGAACCGTTCCAATAACCCCGTGGGAGAGGTGGCTTCGTGGAGCTATACAACACAAAGAGGGAAAATGCTGAGGAAATGGCAACGCTAAAGCTCAGTAGCTTGTGGTTTCAGAAAATGAGATTCGTTTGGACAACACAGATGGCAGGAAGGGCCCGTGACCGACCTTGAACATCCACCATCATCCTTAGGGTGGTTGTAGGAATAACAACAACAATATAGCAGCACCTGACCTCTATGGCTGAGGGCAGGTGTTCAATGAATGGTTGATGAATGGATAGAGGAAAGGAGGACTATTTCTTGTTGTCAGAAACTTGCTCATCTGATGAGCTGACATCAGTATAGTGGCAAGCAAAGTTGTGTGACTTAAGCAGGTCATCAACCTCTTCATGCAAAGAAAGGGGCGACTAAGTTTTCCCTCCCCTGCTGTTCATTTCCTGCACTTCAACAGCTTCTCCTGGGTAGACCAGATCACAGACAAAACATGGCCCGTTGTATTGAGTATCTGGTATTTTGATAGATATTTTGATGAAACCAATGAGCTGTATATTCTGTATGTTAAATCCAGAGTTCTCTTAAAAATGTCCTCTGTTGGTATTCCATATTTACAAGTAACTTTGAGAGTAATGAATTATTTCTCATTTGTATGGTCAGTGAGACCCATGAAAGATCCAAAGATGCTTCTCAGACCTTGAACTTGGATCACTAGGAAGCCTTAACTCTTTGAAAGCCAAATTACTACATGGATTTAAAGTTTCCGTTCTCATAGTATAGGATTCCCATAACAACCCCAACTAACCTTTAGATTGAGGATTTT